TACATATATATACGTACATATATACATATATATATATACATATATACATATATATATACATATATACATATATATATATATATATACATGTATATATATATATATATATAACATCAAAATTTTAGGAGATTCGAAGACCAAAATTCAAATGCTCACACAATTCTGAAATAATTGCAACATTCCGAAGAAAATGAAAATGGCAGAATCATAGAATGAGAGTGTGTGCAAGAAAAATGAATGCTATGTGACACCGTGAAACAAGCTGTAAGAACATGACCATGAAACCTAAAACTCTTCACACTGAATCTTAAAATTTAATCGTGGATAATTTTCTATTCTCAGTAAGAAAAATAAAACCTAGGCCGGCCTCCCAATTGACCCGGACAGCCCAATTGACCATAAATGAGGACTTACATATTGGTCTCCCTAAAAGACAAGTCTGCTACTGAAATTAATGTGGTCAAAGTCTTACTTGCATTTTGGAGTAGTAAAATTATTCAATTATTCAAGTATGTTGCAAAGGAGCAATCCCCTTAAATTGGTGAAAAAGGTTGGTAGGACTCATTCGTTTAGGGTATTATTAACCCTATCCCACAGTGATATATGTTGGACATGATGATTGTGCAATATAATTATTAAGATAATTCCACAGAACCACAAGGAACTAACTACACCAAAGCTCTCAAGAAAATAGTTGCCACTGGTTTTCTAGCTCCAACCCATAAGACCAGATGCCCAAAGTATCGAGAAACATGATTTGATTCGGATTCGACTAAGACCAAAATTTAGAAGCAAATTCACATTAATAAAAAAAATTATGGAGACCAAGAAACTAGGAAAAATCCATAAGACTGCATGGTTGTTGATTGTGTCCTGAAACAACCACAAAACTAAGCCGGAACTTGCTGTTAATTTCTTTAAGAGGTGAGGAGAGAGTAGAGTAGCATGACAGGGGAATAGGATGGAGACTAGAAATTTAGATCGGATTAAATTCGGCACAAATCATTTACTTGTTACCTTGAAAGTATTCATGACAGTTAAAGAATTGGTCGAAAAAGATGTATCCTATTGCCTGCAAAGTCTTATTAATGAATTTAGCATAGTTGACAGAAGCACCATGAACGTACCTGAAGTGACGTCTCATTGATTGGTTCCAGAGGCCCATGGAAGATCATACCAATTGGAATGTAAACATCTCCCAAGCAAACAGCACTTGTGTGCAAAAACTAGTACATTTATATCTTAGACGGTTTAAGAGATAATCTGTGAGACTATTATAAAGAATTTGTATTTGTCTATGATTAAAATAACTTCACCTGAAACAAAAGAGATTATGATGTCAGGAATATGTTCAAAGAAGATTTAAAGGTTCACCATTAATAGTGCAAAAGGATAAGTAGACCTTAAAAGGAAACACTAAAAAGAACAAAATTAGATTTAATGATTCTTCATTGACTAGTAAAATTCTCTCAATCGAACAAGTCAATCACAATATATTAATGGCACTAGTTGGCGATCTTGCTTCTTCATCTACCTTAACTAAGTTTTATTGATCATCTCTCTATACATGAACCTGAGATCACAAACATTTTTATCAACCTAGAGGCCCAAAACGATGTCATTGTTTGAGTTGCTTATGGATCATGCAAGGAATTAGATACAATCTAGTCTGGAAGATTGGCAAGGAAGGAGATCAATGCATTAGGACCTGCTGCAATCTAAATTCTTAAACCTAGCTTAATCTTGGTAGGTTAAAGAATTACATAATTTTGGACCGATCCACCTATAGTTTCAAAATGTGGATCTACATGCAACATTGCAGGTTGGATCAGAGTCATGTTCTAGATTATAACAAGTTCAGATAAAGATTCAAGAATTGTACCCTGATAAGATAAAGAGATCCAAAACTAGGATCTGTGCTTGAGATTTCAGATCAGGCTTCAGAACGTCAGGCTCCATTAACATCCTTGATCCAAATTCAGAAGTTGCCTCACAACCTCGTTCAATCTACATCCGTCATGGAGAAAGGGGAAAGTTAGTGAGATATAACATGATCTTTCATTTTGGGAATCAAAATGAATTCATCTCATAAAATTGCATACATGTAGGTAGAATAAATCTATACTCAAACAAGATCCTAAAGATAGATTTGCCTCCATTGAGATCCAAGATTAAGAGATCCAAAAGTAGGATCTGTAGGCTTCAGATTATCAGGCACCATCAACATCCTTAATCCAAATTCAGAAGTTGCCTCACATATTCGGTAGATCTACATTTGTCGTGGAGAAAAGGGAATGTTAGTGACATATAAAATGCTCTTGCATTTTGGGAATCAAATGAATCCATCTTAAAGAAATTGCATATACGCAGGTAGAACAAATATATTATCAAACAAGATCCTAAAGATAGATTTGCCTCAATTGAGGAGTATTACCACATTGTTTTGCGAGATTAATACAGCTCCCTCCTCATGAAGATACTACTCACCGCCATCGAGTTAAGAGCAGGAAAGAAGAGAATTCTGTGGTATGCAACTAAGACAAGGATCCACAATTGTTTAATCTGTCTCGATCAGATGCTATGCATGTTCTCCTTGGTGAATGGAGGAGGGATCATGTAGACCAAAAGAGAAATTCTTGGTCCATCATATCCATGATAGATCAGTCCAATCAAAAAAGGCAATAATTTTCTGAAATAATGGACTTATTAATTGAATGTAAAGAAATTTAGAGATTTGACTTGTGTAGAGAAAAGGAATTTCTGGTCTTATATTTATCCCAACAATCTAAATTAAGATCCAAGACACTAATTTAATCCAATTCAGGTTATCCCAAACAATGTAAAGATGACATACTCATTTCTTGACAAGGTTTGATTTCCGTATACCACAAAAACTCATAACCTAACACACTTTGTGTAGAGAAAAGGAATATCTGGTCTTATATTTATGCCAACAATCTAAATTAAGATCTAAGACACTAATTTAATCCATTCCATATTATCCCAAACATGTAAAGATGACATACTGATTTCTTGACAAGGTTTGATTTCCGTATACCACCAAAATTCATAACCTATCACACTATGTGCAGAGAAAAGGAATTTGTGGTCTTATATTTACACTAACAATCTAAATTAAGATCTAAGACACTAATTTAATCCATTCCATGTTATTCCAAACATGTAATCATGACATACTTATTTCTTGACAAGGTTTGATTTCCGTATACCACCAAAACTCATAACCTAACACGCCTTGATCTATTAAGACAAACAAGATATAGTTTATGTGCCCACCTGAAAATGATGTGTTTGACAGAGTGAATCTGTATTGATACGGAGCAATGGCATCAGTCATTTCTTTCTTTCTCTCTTTCTCTCTGTTACTATTTCTTTAACTGCGTCTGCAATACTCCAATCTCCTCCTTTTTTCGGTGACTTGCAAAAATTCAGATATATACAATTAATCGTTAGTTTCGAAGTTCTTTCAATGTTATAGCCAAAAGGTTATACCTATAGGAAGTGCGATCGATGACCGAAAAAGAGAAGAGGGGACGAAAGAGAACCAAACTCGAACCCACGGTGTACCAAATCATGATCATCACCAAAACAAACGAATTCGGCAACATGGTGATCTCGGATATACCGGATCGTAAGCATTCCAAGAGTTCCAGGAGCTAAACCCAGAAAGGGTACCGAAGAACTA